AATCACAACATGTCATTTTTACATTTTTCTTTGCAGAATCAACAAATGAGAAACAAGTTCTCAATTAGTGAGCTTTAGCTTGGCTGGCAGGTAGACTTTTACCTTTTCATACCAGGCTAGCTTTTTCCCCCTCCTTCCAGTGTTTATGCTAAGCTAAGCTATTTCCGAAATGTCAAACTTTTATTTTTAATAACTAACTATCAAAAATGAAACACAACATTTTGCAAGTGAAACAAAATAAATGGAGGAGAACAAGCTCTTAGAGAGGCTGTTAATGATAATTTTGAATAACGTTATCATCATACAACTCTTGTAAACAAAAGATTTCAACTATATTTCTGGTTCCTGGCAGTAACAGTTTTGCTTTGATCGGTTCTCTAGACAAAGACTGTGATCGACAAGTTACAGAAGCTGGTGTCATCAGAGGGACGGTTCAAAAACCTGAGAGAAGCTCTAAAGAAGTGAGTATCCAACGCTCTTCTCTTTCCTGTAGCGTGATCACACAGGAATTTTGTATATTCCGTATTAATTCTTTGTTTTTATTGCTCTTTGTGTGTGCATCTGTACAATTTCCGTCTCCCTCTAACCTGTCTGGTGTCATCAGCTGTGACCCTCCCTGTGTTCCCTACCTGGGAATGTACCTGACGGACCTGGCCTTCATCGAGGAGGGAACACCCAACTACACAGAGGACAACCTGGTCAACTTCTCTAAGATGAGAATGGTATGGAACACCTGTGTGCTGATGTACATACGTTACATTAAACCTTCTACTGTTTCTTGTTTGTGTCTAGTTCATCATTTGTGTTACTTTTCAGCAACCTGTGCATCTGTGTTCATTTGCTTATTGTCTACTGACCATGGTACTTGCTGACGATACTATCTGCAAGGTTGAATTTTATATAATTTTCCTTTCATTTGTCTTCAGATATCTCACATCATCAGAGAGATACGTCAGTTTCAGCAAACAGCTTACAAAATCGATTATCAACCAAAGGTGAGATTACATTTTACATTTCCAAGAGCTTAGTAAAAATAAACACTTGCATTTCAAGTTTAAGATAACAAAATCAATGACATTGTGCACTCTTTATTCTAGGCTTCTGGGTGTAATGTATACCTGTGATTACTAATCAGTGATTGATAATGAACAATATGTAGTAAACCTTTTTTCCTTCCATACAACAACACTACCAGTTATTCATATAATTTCGGCAGATATCCTCATTTTAAGTTTTTTGTTCTGTCCTGTTTGCAAACCAAATAAAAACTGAGCAAAAATACTCACTCACCTGTAAAGTGCCTTGAAATAATATATTTTATGATTTGGCACTATAAAAATAAAATTGAATTGATTGAAACAAAGCTATTTTAGAGAGATATGACTTGCAGGCAGAAAACAAGAGAATGGACAGCAGCACACTCTTACCTCTGGTGCCTTTATTCCAACATACTGTATAAAGATCAAGTTTTTGTGAAACAAATCACATGCTCAGTTGGGCTCAGGGCTGACCAAAATTTTTCATTAAAAGCAAATTCACAAAGAAATAGAATCCAATTTTTAAGTAAGACAGGGTTAATAGGTCTGTTGGCTAATATAAATGAATGACCATGGGCTAAATGTTATATATTTACACTAAAAGCAGGTGTGCGTGCTCTCATTCAACATATCCATTCTACATGCAAAGCCTGCAAAAAACAAGGAATCATCCAAAAACTGCTATGATTGTTTTCTTTATTGCTTTAGGTGGCAAAGTACTTACTGGACGGTAGTACAGTGCTCGACGAGGAAAGTCTGTATGAAGCGTCTCTGAGAATCGAACCCAAAACTTCAACCTGAAGAGGATCTCTCTCTGTCAGCCCTCATATGGAGTGTACAGGAACAATATATCATAATGTACATATACTATTATTTGTATTAGACACAGTAGGCTGTGCCCTTCTAGTATGTGCTCCCCAATGGACTCGTTGTGTATAATTGTTATTAGAGACTGAGTAGAAGCCCAGAGAGGTTTTATTTATATAGTTACAGAGTATTTATATGTTATTTATCGTCTGAAATACCATTTTATGATGAAGTTATTTTCAACCACAGAATAAACAGATGAGAGAGTATATAGACATGATATTTAGTCACATCCTAATGGGAACACGCAGTGTAAAAAAGACGGTCATTCATGAGAGATGGCGGTCATATTTGTCAACACGATCAACTCCCACTTTTCTGCTCAGATGTCAGAGTCAAGAGAGAACTAAACTTTATTTAAACCCCCCATACAGACATTCTGCCTTATTAGTACAGAAGCCATTTCTTCAGCCTCTTTGTCCTCAAGTATGAATCTGCTAATCCTCTCGCTGCATGATCATTCATGTAAAGTTGTACTCCTTAAGAGTTCTGTCCTGGTTGATTTGAATTCAACCACTAACAATTAAAACTACTATATAGAGAGGTAGTTATTGAATGTAAATACATTGAATGGCTATTGCAGAAAAAAGTATCAAGAATGGGGTGTGATCTCAGAAAAATCTTAAAGATTTGAACTTTAAGGTTTTGAAGTTAAGACATTTTCTTAGAGCTTTAACTCGGAGAACTAAAGGAGGTGAAAAGTGGGACTGCTGCAGTGGCTAAAGCTGAATCATGTGCTCCGATGTTTTATGTAGCCACTGAAACATGAAGACATTTAGTAGTGTCGGAGTCAGACTGACACACCCGCTGATTGGGACTGACCTGGAACACGTTATTAGTGTGGAGAGATGGGTTTTTATGCTTTTGCTTATTATCACCTTATTCCCCTGGTGGGCAACGTGATGTATATACAGTATAAGCACCGGGCAGTGTATGTAGCAGATGTATCCAATATTGAGCCACTTCAGGAAGTTAAATTCCCAGCTTTTACACTCAGTGAGAGCATAGTTTTTATGGTTAATCCTCTTTGGCCAGTGCATTATGGTTTTGCCTTAATCATGAAATGGATTATATACCACAAAAGTATGTAAACTATTTTGTTCTACGATTTGCCAATGAAGCAGAAATATTTGCTGTGTACAATATTATGTACAGGCAGTCCGATGCATTTCCTAATGTGCAATGTGTTAAAAACATATCCCTTGAAATGTGTTATCCTTATGATCGTTCAACTCTGTAATAACTTTTCTGTGTATGATACTTTAAAACAAATGTTGAAAACAACTTATAAGTGTAACACATTCTGTATCCTGTCTATTCCAATGTGTTAGCAGGAACTATACAGTAGTAATATTGTGCTTATTCTTGGAATATTTATATGTATTTTTTACAGGCTTTGTATAGAACAACACCTAAAGCTTAAGTGGCAGGCATGTGCCACTTTCACGTGTTTAAATCAAATCTATATCTAGAACAGTATGTGTACTGTATTTAAACCCCACCCTTGCACATGAATCTTTATCCTCTAACAGGCACATCAAATGTTTGCAGTGAGCAATACCCAGTGGTATGAGAATTATATTTCAGTCTATTTCAACAGCTTGAGTAGTATTTCCAGTTTTGTATAAAAGTGTATTCTTTCCTGATTACCTCTTGTTAATAAATCTATTCTTTCTCAGGGGGAGAAGTGTCTTGAAGGTTGCTAAATGTTTGTTTTTTTTACACTGTATTAGCCCATTTGGTTATAGCTTTGCTGGGGGAAGAATAGAGGCAGGGGGTGTTAAGTAGTCTTTATAAAAGGAGGTCCAAGTCATGTGACGCCCTCTAAACTTGTCGGAGCTTATGGGGCAAGTATGGCGCTCACAGTTGTTTGGTTCATCACCTCCGTTCTTAGTTTTGTTCATTCAACACCGTTGATATTACTCGAAGGTGAGTAAAGACTTGTGCAGTGTGTCGCTTGTTTTTTTTTCGTTCAGTTTCGTTAAATGCAAAATTTCGCTGTTTTCTAAACGTCTCGCTGAAACGATTTTCAAAGTTCAACAGGTTTAACACTGCAGCTTAATGTTTCCAGCACAAAACGTTTCCACAATATCAAAGGTTAGAACATGATATATAAATATATCCTATTTATCCAACTTAAGCAGTGGTGGAAGTTATTCAGCTCGTTTACTTAAGTAAAATATACTGCAATATAAAAATACTCCATCACAAGTAAAGGTCCTGCATTAGAAATGTCATAAGTAAAAGTAGGCTACGTATTAGCTAAATGAAGTTATAAAAGTACAAGTGCTCATGATGTTAAAAATGGTGCCTGTGAGTGTTAAAATTATATTACAGGATAATCATTGTTGCATTCAAGTGTAGTAGGATATCATAAAACTGTCTTTGGCAAGGTGGAGCAAATTTGAGCAATTTCATAGTTAAACCGGTAGTGCTTATTTTAGCATACAGCACATTTTATAAGCTAATCATATGATCTTTTAAATATTTAATTTTACACATCACAAGTATTTGCCAGATAAGTACAGTGGAGTAAAAAGTATTTCATATTAACTCCCCTGATTTGTACTAGCCTAAACTGGAAAAAAGTAGCATGAAATGGAAACACTCAAGTACTTCTAAGTTGTACTTGTGTTGAGTAAATGTACTTAGTTACTTTTCCCCACTGATTATAAATGATGACAACTTCAGGCCTAAATTTGAAATTTTGAAATGTTGAGTATCAGGCTGCTTTACTTACTGTGGGCTTCATTCTGTGTCCCATCAGAGGAACATCGATTCAAACAGTGGATGTCACAGGTAGGTACATGATAACAAAGTTACCAAAAATGTACACTTAATTGTCCTATAGTTTACTCTATGTATATACTGTTATATCTCTCTTTTTGACGTACAGCACAACAAAATTTATGACACTGAAGAGTATTACCACCGGCTCCAGATATTCACTGATAATAAGAGAACAGTCGATCATCATAATGCTGGGAATCACTCCTTCACAAGTACAGTACAGTGCTGAACTATCTCATAATGTTGAATGTGTAGATTATTTTCACAGAAGATGACCTGCCAATTTTAAAATGATGTGTATCATTGAGTTATGAAAGGAATGCTATTCTCACACAGCTGTTCATTTTCACATCTAGTGGGCCTGAATCAGTTCTCAGACATGACATTCGAGGAATTCAAGAAATTCTTCCTTTTATCAGAGCCACAGGTTTGATGTATTATAACACATTTCATTTTATGCATTTAAGTTTTTTTTGGACTTCCTTTGCCATGTTATGATTCTGGTCTCTTGCAGAACTGCTCAGCTACTAAAGGAAGTCACGTCAGCAGGACTGGTCCTTACCCCGAGTTTGTGGACTGGAGGATGAAAGGAAACTTTGTGACTCCCGTGAAGAATCAGGTATCATGATATGGTCCTGGACAGGCAAAAAAAGTCCCACTACAATTTAGTGAGAGAATCAGGAAGCATCAGTGTTTATTATCAGTCATCAGAGTCACTGTGGTTTTCAGTGCAGAAACACTCATTGTTTCTTCTATAAACCACTTTGATTTTACTGTGAGCACTGAAAAAAAGTTTCATTTACAATTAGTTATATTAATCAAACCTGATGTTACATAATTTTTTGGGATGTGACTAAGAGTGTAAATGGCCAAAATTGCAAGATAAAAAGTGTCAAAGACAGCAAAAAAAAACAAGATGGTGTTGTCACTGCTTTCTAATGTGGTAGTACATCATGTAATAGAAGTGGGATATCTTAGATTTGCTTAAAATGGTGCTCCAGCAAGTTAGCATTGCTCCTCTATTCAAATTGGGAATATGTGATATTAAACAAAAAAAATCTAAATTGATGTAGCAGAGACTGAGATATATTCTATGCTCTGGATCCAATATTTCCCCATCATGCAACATGAGCAGTATTGTGAATGCCTAAGTTTTTATTTTCTCCATTGCCTGCACCAGGTTTGTAGCACAGGGGACGTTGTACAACTGTTTTCACAAGCAATTTACATTCACGTGTGAAGTCAGTGCAGTGACCTTTTATCATAAGTGAATTATCAGTTGTTTGAGTTATGTTGTGTTTGCGTCTTTAGGGTCACTGTGGAAGCTGCTGGACTTTCTCCACCACTGGCTGTTTGGAGTCAGTGAATGCCATCGCCACTGGGAAGCTAATATCTCTGGTAAAATCTGACTATTATTTAGGAATGCTCAACTCATTCATTTAATAGATCTAAAGGGCATGGACAAACGTGTTAACACTATCACACTCATCATCAAGAGGAATCCACTTTGGGGGTAGGAGACAAATAAGGCTGTGACTTAACCTATATGTGCGTGTTGTCAGCAGTGCAGAGGACAACTGTTCGCTCTTGAGCAGAGAAATGTGATGGGGTTCAGAGTATAAAGTTTCATTACGTGTAACAACAGCATAGCCGACTTTACTCAAACCTGTGGCTGGATCCTTGGAGGAGGAGCCGTCCACAAACAGCCTGAGGTCAGCATGACGCGGCATGCATCTGGGAGATCTGCTTTGGGGCTGCACACATGGTTAATTGGATTAAGGACAGACTGTGATGTTTGGCATTTTAAGCAGATTGTATTGTTGGTTAACCAACATACTGCTGACAAATGTGCAGTCTTTTGTTCAAGCAAAGTCACTGAGACAGCATGAGGAACTAACAAAGCTGAGTCTTGGACTTTGAATCCATTGTAGTTATTAAGACTAGATTGTGACCATTGTCAGCCACATGTTACACCAGTGCCGTTGTGTCTCTTTAGGCTTCCCCTGTGGAAGAGCAGATCATGAGGTCATCAACATACTAGAGGGGTGCACTCCCCCCAGGCAGTGTTAACTGCTCAAGGTTTCCCTTTGAAGCTGCGTTGTAAATGGTTGAACTCCCGCAAATCCTCAACGTAACCAAGTGAGCGTAATACTTTTGCTTTAAAGGAGACGGAAAAGCAGTACTGAGAATCTTTATGTATACTGAAAAAGTATACTGCCTGTTGTTTGCCAACGTAACAGTTGAAAACCACTTTGGGGGTACCTGTGACAAGAGTGTGTGTGGACTAGGAACATTTGGTGCTTGAGCAAGAACTGCTGCTTTTACTGCTTGCAGCTCTTGAGTTCTGACTGGAGATGTCACACATGGAATGATAATGCCTGTTGCTAGCAAAGAGTTGAACATGAGTGTTATACCTTCAAATGCTTCTGGTTTAAATTATTATTTTTCTTTGCATGGCCTATAATCAGATCACTACAGGCTCAGTATTTTTAATTAGGTCTATGTCATACTTCCTCTGTGCCCACAGTGTAGGTGGGACTTCTGAGAGCTCTGGTGATGAGACAGTTAGCAGAGATTACCGATGTGTGTATCTGCGCATGCTCTGTGGTTGTACTGTAGGTATATACCTCTTTTGGCCATCAAACTCATTGTACACAATGTTCTGTACGTGTTCTGTACAAGCGTTGATTGTAAAATACCTGTGGTATTCCTGTCTCCTCCCACTGCTGTGTGTCATTGCAACTACTCATGCATAGTCCAAGATCCTCCTACTGTCTCTGCTTGCTCTTGGCTGCACATTGGCTGCAACATTTTGAGGTATTTGGTCAGTTGAGCTGGGGCTGTGACAGTGGCAGTGCACATATCAGTTTTCCAGTAAAGCCATCTTACAGTCAACTTATCTGTTACAAAATCCTCTCTGAACCATTCTTTCTCAAAGGCCCTGTTCAGACCCCGCATCATGTGAGATGTGTATGGTGTAATGGAAATCAGTTTCGGCTACTGTAGGTACTGAACATCCTGTCCCTGCATGCAGCTGTGAGCTCGTTTAACTGCCAGTCATACATGAACAGCAGTTCATGTATGATTGTATTTTACTGTTTGTGGTGTATTTTCTGCTCAATTCATGTTTTCTTTTGACCTGAATTCCCTGCTCTGTGCACATTAAGAAAATGTCAAGACGTCACATCAAATCTCTCCCTGGAAGATTCACAGGGCAGCATGGAGAAAATAAGTGTTTGAGTGTTCGAGAACTTCACTTTGAACTGCAAAGGACAACATTGTCACCAGTTGTTCTTTTTTACAGTATCACCACTGGCTCCTATGCCACTGCTTCTCATTTTTGGAGCAGGATTCAAATCAGTTGTTTTATTTACAGATACTGTTTTGACTATGGTCGAAAATGCTTTGTCTTACTCCGACTTATACATTTCATACGTTGGCTGCTGTGAGTGTTTGTCTACTTCCTGTTTCTGCTCCAGTGCATGCATTGCATCTTGAACTAATTGATGTGTGTCAGTGTTTATGTTCTTACTGTTCTCTTTTGTCCCTGTATCTGTCTCTGACCCCGCACACTGTCAGTCCTCACAGGTGCCATGCTGCTGAAGCAGCTTCGGTGATAGCTGCTGTGGTGGTTATAGAAGGCTATGATTTCAAGCATACTCTTTCTCACCTGCAGATTTTAGGTTAGGGAGTTCTGATGCTACCTCACTCATATCCTTATCAATCCAGGGTCAAAAGACACAGGTTTGTCCTTGATGTCCCGCCATTTGAAAAATTAGCAGGTTATAGGAGGCTGCAGGAATGAGTGAAGAAGATGGAAGCGTCCCCCTGTGGTCTCACCTAAAGCTAGTTTGGTAAACTAAAGCGGTCGCCAGGATCCCTCTGTCTTTCTTGTGTCCTGCCTGTGGCAGCTCTCCTGCCACGAAGCAATTGTGCAGGTGGTGGTGTAGCTGTAGCTGCTGATTCCCTTGCTGAGTGCTGTTGGGCAGGAGCTCATTGTGAGCCAAGATGTCGTACGGATCACAAATCAGGAAAGTAATGTGGTGTGGCAGCCCTCACCTCCTCATGAATCCCCCATCGTTTCTTCTTCCTCCTGCCTTTTTCATGTGGGCTGGCCTTTTCTCCTCTCCAGGGCTAGACGGGTGACAATGGTTGTGACCCCAGTTAGGAAGGTGTCGTTGGTGAAGGTATTGGTAGCTTGTCAGACGCCCCAGACTCCTGCCTGCTTGCAGCTTTTCCTCCTGCAATGAACCTGACACTGGTTCACTTTCAGCATCCCATCCTTGTTACCAATTTGTTGTGGAAATTCTAAAATAGAGATTCCCAAAAGAGAAGTTTGTCTTTCTTGTCTTTTATTATAGCATTTGTACAATCAGACCTGTGTGGTGAGATTTGAAGGAATCCACTTTACATTGTGTGGCTGTACCTATTCCTGTGTATAAAGGCATAATGCAATTTGTTTATCTCCATTTTAGTCTGAGCAGCAGCTGATAGACTGCGCCAAGGACTTTAACAATCATGGATGTCTGGGGTAAGTTAGACGTTTATATGTTTTTAAACTTACAATAATTATAAGAATACTTGTGTATAAGGCTTAACCAGTTGTAGCAATAACTGATCGGTCTTCAGTGAGATAACAAAACATCCTGGTTTGTTTCAGTGGGCTTCCCAGCCAGGCGTTTGAGTACATCAAATACAACAAAGGTCTTATGACAGAGGAGGACTATCCCTATAAAGGCCATGTATGCCTTCTCTGGAGAAAAGTTTATATATATATACATACAGACATATATATACATACAGACATACATACATACATACATACATACATATACATATATTATTATTTTTATTTATCTTAATAAATACCTTTACTTCCTATTTTAGGATGACACTTGCCATTTTGAGCCTGCACTAGCAGCTGCTTTTGTCCTGGATGTTGTCAACATAACAAGTGTGAGTTAAGCTGTGAAGTTACATTGTGTGAGACATTGTACAGGTGCCCTTTAAGAAATCCCTGCTGGGTCACAAAGTTACAGTTAACCATGTCAATGCTGGTAACTTTATAAGAAGTGGCCATTTTTAGTATAGACACATTATTTTCTTACAATAGTGTGTCATACCTCTGTGAATACTTGTTACAGTCTGATACACTACATTGCTAACATTTTACCAAAAATGCAATAAATTTACCTCCTAACCAAATCTGTTCATTTTCATATTAAAATTCCTGTATGTTTGTCCATCCACAGTTTGATGAAAAGGCCATGGTTGATGCTGTGGCCAGGCTCAATCCTGTGACCTTCAGCTTTGACGTCACGGCTGACTTTCTGCACTACAAAGACGGTGTTTACACCAGGTGAGACAAGACCTTGACAGCTCAACAATCAATCAGAAATCTGCTTACATCCACAGTAGAGCAAATACTTTTTTCAAACTTTTTTTACTTCAACTTTTTTTCTATTGAAGTAATTACAATGATAATTTTGGTTGCACTTTTAGCTCTGTACATTCAGCATTCATATATTTTTGTTGATTTTTTTGTTGTATTCCTTTTGTTACCCATCCATAGTATGGATGTCTGGAACATGTTCATCCCTGAGAAGGAACTATTCATAGACTGACAAGTGCTTGTGGTTCACGTCACTACAACTTTCTACCCTTTCTCATAATAGTAACTCAGATGTGATAACATTTCACCAAAGTTTAATGTTTTGGACTTGATAGAGACAAATGAGCCAGTTTTTAATTGTTTAGATTTTATTCATTTTTCTTCAGTTCTGAAAATATTCACAGAAACAGCTACACATCTTCGCACAGGCAGGATGTGATATGATATTGAAGGAGGAAAGCAGCCCACTCACTCTGCAAAAGACATGCACTCTGTTGATCTAAAAGTATCACTGTTGTCTGTTTAGCACCCAGTGTAAGAGCACAGCAGACAGGGTGAATCATGCTGTTCTGGCTGTGGGTTACGGCACTGAGGAGAACGGCACGCCATATTGGATTGTCAAGAACTCCTGGGGCACAGCCTGGGGAAAGGACGGGTAAATATAGTCTGTGTGTGTATTTCAGTGTGATGACTGGCTACTGCTTTTAAGGACCATGGATACCTTTCATTTTTATTCCATCAGGTATTTTTTGATTGAGCGAGGAACAAACATGTGTGGACTGGCTGTATGCTCTTCCTACCCTCTACCTTCAGTCTGAGGAGCAACGTGGCAACTAAGTGGAAGACTGATGAAACAACCTAAATGGAGTCCACGTGATGGGAAGTTGGTGTTTGTGATATTTATGTGTTTTCACGTTTCCTGAAGAATCTTTGTGGCTGATCCAAGGACTTGACATAAACTAAGGACTCAAAACAGAAATAAGAAAACATAAAGCCAATTATAAGAGGAAAGAAATGTGTCAGCTCAGGTGTAAAAGAGCTGTAATTTGGCAAAAGCTCTTGTAGTGTGACTAAATATGAACACACATAACTATCTTACATCAGAAAAAATTCAGAAACATATTTTATATGCCAGAGGGTGACTAAACAGGGCAGCTGTCATGATGGAGCTGATTGAACAGTTTGTGTTCATTCCAGCAGTATGTTCTTTCCATTCAGTCTGTCTCATAATGACAAATCAGCTCTTCCCATAACAGTGTCATAATTGTAAGAAGTCGCATCAGATCTGGTTGTTTGTCAAAGTGTCCTTACTTGGTTTAAATGTATTCTGCATAATGTTTCTTACAAACATTAAATTGATTTCTACACTCTCAACATCACCGTGTTGTGTGTTTTCTGTTCTCCTTAAGGTCAGAAGTTGTTTTCATTTGATTTGGGCTGCTTTTCCAAAGCCAAAAATATTTGTTTTGCAGTAACAAAATGACATTTCATGTTCATGGTTTTCACAAAATACACTGTTCTTTTTTTATTACACTTTTATTACATATGACTTTACATTGAATGGTTAAAAACGAATGCTGTCCACCACAGTGAGTGGACATGTCAAAAACTTCATGAAAAATACACGTAAACCAGAAACTAGAATAAAATACAGAACATGTTTTCATGTTTAATGAAGGATAAGGAAACACATCTTGACTTGCGCTTCTGCTTCCTGTCACTGCTATTGCCAAAATCTGCCAGAAGGTGGCGACTTTATCACTGACTGTGGAGGCCGAAGCAGGAAGCAAGAGATGAGATGTCAATCAAATTGAAAGGCGTTCATTGGTTGTTGACAGCAAAGAACAACCCCTTATTCTGATGACGTACTGTTTTCTAACCAATGAGCTGCCGGGATTCTGTTTCACAACATGGGGGGAGGGGCTAGTTACAAAACATCTCTAGCATGTGGCGCCAATAATTCCACTACCCTCAATTATCATCACAGTGACCAGTGGAGAGTGCATACGTGAAGTACTCGCATTTCTCTCGAATAGCTCTTACGAATCGTTGAAAGTGCACTAATATGTCGAAGAGACGAGCAACACGGGAAGCTGTTGTGAAAGTACAACTGGTGGTGAGTTTTTCGAGTTTTGAAAGTGGTGTCGTTATCTTAACCTGCTTGTGTTGGCTTGCCGCTGAATAACGTCAACTCTAGCTGCTTGTGTTTATATGATTTAACAGTAAGGTAAACATCAGCAAGCATAATTTTTGGCGTAAATTCAGTGTGCTCACTAAAACTTATGTTTCTTTAGAAAAGTTGAATTAACGCATTAGTGTACGTTAGGTGTTACGTCCGTCATTAATAGAGCACACCTTGCAGGAAAGGATCCCTGTGAATCTCGAGGAAGAGGTCCGACGATCATCTCGACATGTGTTGGCACCTAAACGCTTTCAACACTCTCCCTCAGCTGAAACACCCAAGAAGAAAACGGTGAGAGACAATCCACAAACACGCAGAAACACAAATAAGTCATTTTGTATTGCTGTTATTAATTCCAAGGTTTTCTTTACAGAGAATTAAAACGCAGGATGACAAACACACCCAGAAGAAGACACTGGATCTTAAGGAAGAGGCTGCTGAAAGTAGTGATGTGGAGTATACATCTGTAATTGTGAAAACCCTGCACAATTAATCATACACACCGCCATTCTTGTCTTGCATGTGACAAGGTATTCAAAGTTTCTACAGAGTGTCAGTGCTATGTCTTTGTGTAACACAGAATGGACATGGAGGACTTTCACCATATGAACTGGAGCGACTGGAGAACATCAGACAGAACCAAGCCTTCCTGTCTTCTATCAGCTTATTCCAGGTAGGTATACAGGTGGGATCCTCAGAGCCACATGGGTTGACCATGTCTTCATGAATGCATGGACACTTGACTGTGGTTGTGAATCTCTCATTAATCTGACAATACTCTCATGGCATCTCAATAAATATATTCAGTTGTGTCTCTTGAATGGAAAAGTGGCCTCAGACTTTTGGACGTAATTAATTATTTAATTAAAATCAGAATAGCTACAACACCTAATGTCATCCGACAACACGCCCAACCATCCCAGAAGTCACAATCTTTGACTGGTGATACTTTGATTAATCCAGACAAACATAGCACAAGAAAGGAAATGGAATGTAGTGAGTCAGCATTAATGAATATAAGTCATTAGTTAAAAATGACCCACATCATCAGTTTGAATTTAAGACAATATCACAAGCCTTACTTGGTTTTAGTTATATTTCAAAGGAAGCCTTGGATCAGCCTACAGTATCAATAGTGTGCTGTAAATAGCATAAGCTTTTAAATTCTCATTAAAGTGAGGCCTGTGCTAACACATCCTCTCAACAAATCCATCCAAACGAATTGGATCCTTTGCGTGCATGAAGGGAAGTTGTGGGTCAGAGTAGCCTGTTTGTGTGTATTTTGTACAGATAATGAAGTTCTCTACGGCCATCTTGTGACTCATTCCTCTTGCTGTCATTGAACCCATAGGATGGGTAATAACTATTGTTCTTTGTCAAAAGGCCACAGAGGAGCTCAAGGAGCTGACACGGCCAAAGGCGTCACAGAGGGGTCTCATGAGGTACAGTTGGCTGAAAGACTGATTGTTACTACAAAGCTCTTACTTCAGTGTAACAATAATTTCTGAATAAAATATTTTGTGGGAGGGGGTGCATGGCACCTGGCAGGAATGGTGAGCTATAGAAGTGGAGTGTTACAGAGAAATTTAAAACCTGTAGTGACCAAAACACAATAGTGAGTGTTTTGCATGTTGTACACGTGTGAATTACGCTCACCTCTGGCTGAAAGTAATTGATTTCTTGAAAAAAAGTCCCTAAGTAAAAATATTACATCTTTTTCCATCCTTTTAAACATGAGGGTTTTTTTTTTTTTTTTTTCCCAATTTCATTTGTCTGTGTGTTAGTTTCAAAAGTCAGAAAACTTCTTGATGTCACCATAACGTTGAGTTTCTGTAATGGCAGGTCACAGGCTGCTGCTAAAGAAACGCTGCCAGCTCGCAAATCCCTGCGTCTCCAAAATAAAGAGGCAGAGATCCTGACACTTCCCCCTGAACCCACGGGCATGCTAAGCCATAAAGAGGTATAGCTTAATATAGATAACTTTAAATATATATATATAATGTATATCATTGCTGTGGGGTGGAAACCTTGCTTACTTTTCAGGAAATGAATCTTTTTGAAATAATTTAATTCATCACAAGCTCTTGTTAATACTCTTCATTGCTAAAATAGTTAAACCCACAGACAGACTTAAAAGGTGACCAATAATATTATGGAAAAAAAGGATGAAATATGGAGATAGGAAGTTTCTGCCCAACAGCTACGATATGCTGTGTATTATGACTCACTCTACTATTTATTTCCTGGTTTTGTTGCTCACTGTAGTTGTTTTACTTGTTTTAAAGTCTACGTCACTCAAAAAGTCTGCTGGCCCTCTGCCCATGAATCCACTCAACATGGAAGAGGGAAGCAAGCTGCCTTCACAACTTCTTGACCTGTGCTCTGAGGTAGGAGTCACCTTTCTAGACTAGTGTGATGTTTGATGTTGGTACATCCCTGAAATTCATCCTATCATATTTAATATTCAGCTATCACAATGGCTTTTTAGATAGTCTGCACTATGTCTGCTCTCCTGGCACAGTATAACAAAAAACGCTTTGAAACTTTAAGGAACTGACATAAAGTAAAGTTTACTTATGTAGCTTGTGAATAAATTGGTAAATCTTAAAATTGCTTTTCTTTTCATAGGACTCGACAGAAGAAAAAAAGGTGGAGCTTGATGTGAAAGAGTAAGATTTAAAGTTTTGATTCTGACATTTCAGTTAAAAAAAAAAAGCCACGGCTCCACCTCTGAGGCCATATGAGTTGCTTTGAGACTAACATATTGGTAAACACATTTTTTGAAAACAGTTGAACATGTCGATACTGGCGGACAAAATCTACACTGGTGTCTTGATGCAGGTACAGCTCAGCTCTTAAGAACATGAGGATAACTGAGGACAGAGTGGCCAAAGTGGTGAAGGATCGCATCTTCTCTGCTGCTTTCCACCCCTGCACCAGCAGCCTGTTGATGGCCGCAGGAGACAAGTGGGGGAAAGTTGGCCTTTGGAAGTTGGTAGGTCTTTTTCTTTTTTTCGTTTTTCTTTCTTTTTTTCTTTTTTTTGGATCTGGCCTGGATGTTGTTGAAAGTAGGTATTTGATCACTAGAGGGCAGGGACTGTGCTCAAAACAAGCTCATAGCAACAGGCCTTGATATACTTTTCTAACACTTGAGTAAGAAAGAACAGAGAAGAACTACAAGAAAATGCCGTCATAGATGCATTTCTCACCACCTGTTGTTTTTTAGAATTGTATTAGTCCACCAGCTTGTGGAAACCAGGGATTTTTTGGCTTTTTACACATTTGACTTTTTTTCAGCATCGACTCATTTACTTAATCTCCCTTTCATCTTGCCCTGGTCACGTTGCCTTTAACCTGCTATGTTTTTATGAATAAAAGATAAAATTCCTGGAAGCAGAGCACTGGTTACTGGACACAAAGTCCCTTTAAATGTCACAACCGTTTCATATGCTCATATGTTCGAAAGCCACATTGGGAACTGGCACACATTTTTTGCATGTGTCAATTCCTTCAGAGTGGTGACTGGGGTGATGATGGCGTGCTGCTCTTTGAGCCTCACACTCGTCCGGTGGGCTGCATGGCATTCTCCAGGGCTCATGCCACACACCTGCTGAGTCTCAGCTATGACGGATCTCTACGCTGCATGGATGTTGAGAAAGCCGTCTTTGATGATGTGAGATAACATTTGTTCCATGAAATGTACTTTTTTTAAAAAAAGATATAGAGGTTGTAAGGTAAACTGACTGAATGCAAACTTGACTTTTAAAAAGATCATCTGTCCAGCACATTTACTCCAAATTCAAAGTATCCTCTTTCACCACTTGACACGAGGTTGTTTGTTTATTGTTCCAGGTCTATGACATTGACGATGGCCTGAAATCCTTTGACTTCATGTCACATGATTGTTCGACACTAGTCGTTGGGAACTGGTATGGAGAAGTTGCCATCGTTGACAGGCGCACCCCAGGGTAATGTATTATTGGTGGTGGTGGTGATGAGTAGAAGTGAGTTTTAGTCTCTTTCTATGGTTGAAGAATAACAGGGTGGTTGAACAAGTCTTGTCTCTTAATGATATCATTATTATCATCATCATCACACTAGTGATTCATTTCTCTGCAGAAACTCTCACGAGTCCCTCCACTCATTGGACCCAAAGGTTGTGCGTTGTGTTAGCGTCCATCCTTTACAGAAGCAGTACTTTGCTGTTGCAGAAAGCAGGTATGGCTGATAATTGATTTTTATTTATTTATTTTTTTTCATTGAAATCTGTTTGATTTTAAGTTCTCTATCTGGTGTTAGTCTGTTTTTTGATGTTAATAAATGAATTTTTTTTTTTTTTATCTTGTGTGCAGGGTAGTGAATATTTACGACAGCCGATGTCTGAAGAAGACCAACAGCCAGGCAGTGTCCCAGCTGCATGGGCACTCTTTAAGCATATCCAGCGCTTATTTCTCCCCTTGCACGGGGAACAGAGTTCTCACTTCCTGTATGGATAACCATATAAGGTGGAAGAAGCTCAGCACTTTGAATAATTTTGTTGTACTAACTATGTTTATTTTTCAGTCCCTGCTCAATGTATGAACTTTTATCTACAGGATATATGACACATCTGCAATGACTACGAAATCTCCCTTGCTGACAAAAATCAGGTACGTCCATTCAATTGAACTTAAACTTTGTAATCAGATCAGTTGTGATTTTACACACTTTGAGTTACTTACTTACCACCCGTCCTCTCCATTTCCAGACATGATATGCAAACAGGCCGCTGGCTGAGCAAACTATCAGCAGTTTGGGACCCCAAACGTGAAGACTGCTTTGTGGTGGGAAGCATGTCAAAGCCTCGGAAGGTGCAGGTGTTCCATGAAAGTGGCCGGCCCCAGCACTCCTTCATGGATGACGAGAACCTCAACACCGTGCTGTCCGTCACTGCTTTCCACCCCACAAGGAACGCCTTACTGGGGGGCAATTCATCAGGACGCCTGCATGTCTTCTCTGACTAAGATGAAGATCAAAACATGACGTACCTCTGGTTGCCTTCAGCAGGGTAGCAGAATATCTCGCTGTTGAAAACAAGTGACAATATTGTCTCTTGCTTTTTCCTCATAATTCTCTTATTGTAGATAAGTAACATACCTGTATCAACCTATATCAACTTACACTTTATAAGTCACTAATCATATTCATAGGTATGTTACATTCACAGGTAGAGTATAAACATTCCTCCCCTGTGAGTTGATGCAGTGTTAGTAACAAAGTATAAGAACTTTCTTCCTCACTATTTACAACAAACTACACCTGCTACATGTTGCTATTGCTACATAGGGTAAGTAGTGTCAGAGTAGGTGTATTTGAAGATCGTAAAGATGTGATGCATCCTGCTCTTGTTGGAGATGCAGTGAAAGGCATCAAAGCCTCCAAGTTTGATAATGTTTATAAAAAAATGATCAGATCACATCTCTTCCCCAGTCTGATGTTTAGTTTGAGCTACAGCCGAACCTCTTGGCACATATGTGCATGCTTCGTTGCTTTGAGCTGCTGCCGCATGATTAGCTGTTTGTGTTAACGAGCAGGTGTACCTAATAAAGTGGCCACTGAGATTAAATTAAGCACAAATGTAGAACACCACTGTATTCACCCCTTTCAGCCTTGAGCCTACAGTGTGGATGGGTCTGTATGAGCATACAGGAGGACACTGCGCTCTTCTCCAATTGCAAAACTGCCCAAGGACTGAGTAAACAGTGTTCTGCCTCAAATTCTGCACTGACTTGATGTCTGGACTTCAGGATGATAATTTGTTTTGAAGCCACTCCTGTGTAGATTTGGCTTCATATTTGGGTTTGTTGTCTTGCTAGAAAATAGATGTCAAGTCACAGTTCACTTGCAGACAGTAGCCAGGTTTTCCTCAGGGATTTACCTGTGTTTTTATGCATTCATTTCACCCTCTGCCTCAACAAGCTGTCAGGCAAGTTGCAAAGAAGCATTGCCCACAGCATGATGCTGCCACTGCCAGCCTTCGTGCTGGAGAGGATGTGTTAATCCTCGTGCAGTGCTTGTACAATGGTCAAAAAGCTCAGTTTTGGTCCAGTTTTGGAGGCAGTGTACAGCTGTGCTTGATTGTTGCCTCCTCCTTATTCGAGGGGATAATCAGTGCCTTGGAAATAATCTTTTAACACCTGATGGGAAATTTTCAATTACCCAGATATGTCATGTTTGCCATCTTGTTTTTCGAGAGGATGTTGAGTAACCAGCTGTTGGACCTTTTCAGATGGAGGTGTATTTAATGTCACTGTGTAGAATTTCTATGACACACAAGTGATCTGTCATTCAAATTATGTCTTCAGTTTTATACTTCAACTTCACCTAGGTTCTTTCTTGTTGTTCTTTCTGTTAATCAGAAACCAGCAATTAATCGGTTACTAATTACAGCCATTGGGACTGAAAATAAAAAGTGCAAATGCAACAGTTTGAAAACATTGTACAGATACTGAAGGCAGCCAGTGATCAAGTATGGGCATTGAGAAGTTTGCGTTGTTGATTCTGCTGTTTTCTTATGTTTACTATTTGTTACATTCCGAATGTCCTAAAGAACCTAAGCAACTTCTAAAATGAATCCCTTCAATATTTTTTGTTTGTTGTGTCTCTTTTTATATGTGCCTTCTGAACCAAAAGAATAAATACATTACAAAGACATTTTTTATCCCAAACGCTTTGAGTATGAATATTATTATTGTCGGTGTCTGTGGGCCCTTAAGATGGCAGCATTGTAACATAAAAGCATAGCGTGTGTTAGCAGTGACCACCAGTCTGTTGTTTTAGAGCAGGGACGCTGAAAGACTGAGCTTATCTGGGTTCTGCTGTTGACTGTTTTCTTCTGTGAATTTAAAATTGAACTTGTAGCCACACTAGCTGCTAGATGTCAAGAATAGATTATATTTATTCATAAATAGAGTACACCAGTCTTCAGTCAGTGATTGGAAATAAGCAGTCTTGTTGGAGGTAATAAATGCAGAACACATGCTTACAGAGACATTTCCATGTACAGGGCCAGGGTACAGGAAGGAAGCTTACAGTAAGACCACATCTGAGGCTTTATTTCCTGTTTACATACTTCAAGAAAACAAAAAGCAACAAAAGTTGCCTGTCAGTGGAACTGTCACCCCTCTTTATCAATGTGCCGGTCCAAGTGATCTGAAACAGATGTTAGCAATACAGAAAAAATATTGAACAGCATTGCACAAAGAAAGATTCAGGTAGTTGAGTATGCTACTTCTGCTGTTTTTAATTGGCTAAAAATACAAACTGTCCGCTTTCATTGTAGTAAAAGCTGTTCCAAAGTCAAGTGAAAATGGGTCTACTGTCAGGTGTTCAGTTCATTTACATGTACTTTCATTGTATCTGTGTCTATAAAATGAGTCAGAGAAGAGCAGTCTAGGATTAGGCAACAATCAAACGGGGTTTACATGAAAACTTTTTTTTTTTTTTCTTTTTGGACAACTTTGGATATCTTGGAGAAATATCCGCATTACCTGCCACAGTGGCTAATCGGGAACAGTGGACACCATTCCCTTCACACATGCATCTACAGGCTGTTTTACCTTCTGAGAGGACTCAAAAGACATTTTTCATGTCTAGCAGACAGAGACGAACATTAGTTTTGCAATTCATGGTTATTAGTATTCATTATGTTATCTGTAATATTTATTGCTCAAATTATGTATATTTTATTCATACGCATGAACATAAAATGAGACTTTAAAGTACAAATTATAGGAGGTAAAAAGCAAATTTTCAGCCTCAACTGGTACCTTTCACCTAACACATCAATCAAAAACCACTGAGCACCATCTGAATTAAAGCAAATACATCAGTAATTTATCTGACAATCAACCGCAAAATATGTTTTTTCTATTGAATATAAATATATTAGTCGATATTCCTGTTAACTCTAACTCATCCAACTCTGCACTAAAAGGAAAAAAGAATGACCTCTGGTCATTTCACCATTGCTGAATTTGAAAATATCAGTACTGTACAAAAATAACATCAACATTTAAAGCCTGGTATTTAATACTAGAGGGATTCTCAAAGCATAATTTTCATATTAATTTTCAACTTGTGGAAGTTTGTGGGAGAGATTTGAACATTAATACAGTAACTTTCCAAACTGCCCCTCCTGAACCCCTCAGCCAATCACGATCCTAAACCATTCCTCTTGTTGCATAAATAATACATCCATATGTGTTTTTTGTTTTTGTTTTTTTTTTTTAGGTATAATGTTGTACACCTGCTGATCAGCCTAGAGTTACCACTGGCACACAGCATATACACCTACATACCGTACATCCCAATGAACCTCTTGTAGGCTTGTCGAGTTGACTGTCACAAACGGACTATGGTTTTAAATGATGCTGTTGGTTACTCTGGGCTGTAGGCTAACCTGTGAAAGAACATAAGGCTGGAGAAGCACAGCAGACTATCAGAGTTTCCATCTGTTGACGCAAACTGACAGAAATATCAGACAACAGAGGTTTTCTTTGGTAGGTGCGATGATGAAGACTGCAGTAGGACGTAAACATGACTTATCTTAGGCTCTCTTGGAAGCAAGCGTGGGGCCGAAAACCATGTAATCACTGTAAAAAATAATGCTTCAAGTCCATTAAAAGTCACTGTGAGGAAATCTCCATGTGCTGACCAGACATCAGTTTGTACAAAAATGGAAACATGACATGATTCAAATATATTCAGCTTTTACAGATAAGCACATGAATTTGAACACAGCAGGGCTAAACAAAAAATGAAACATGGGTCTTGAACAAAAAACAAAACAAACAAACAAACAAACATAAAACAACAAGTACATTAGCTCTCTTAACTGTATACTGTGGGGGGAAAAAGCACTCATTTTTGCACTTTACAAAGGTAAAACAAGGTCAAATTTCCCATCATGGAGAGGATCTTGAGTTTTTTTTTTATATTAACAGTATTGCACATCAAGATAAGCTCCTTCTACAGAGTGTGGGAGTCAAAGAGCTAACCAAACACTTCACTATCACTACAGCGCTAGCTCACACAGTCCCATCACTTTTTCAACTACCGTAAAAGTAACTACAGCAAAGTGACAACTGTTCCTTACACAAAGAAGTTGATTGTAGTTATTAGCATTATTTGGCTGCTATTTAATAAAATCAGCAAACTTACTACCTGCATTACTTACTCACATCCCTTACAAAAGCTTCATTTATAGTCGTGGGACGATGAACCTTTATTGGTGCTCTGGACAAAAAAATGGTAACGTGAGCACAATGTTGACGCACATCTGACCACAAACTAAGTCACACTTATTACAAAAAAATCATTCAAGGCTTCTAACAGGGCAGCACCGACGTCACTCCTGGGTCAAACAGCTATTGCAACTAATACTTAGCACTTGTTTAAATTCAATATGCCAGATGTGTGGTTGCATACCACATCAGGAGAATTCAGGGGAGTTGTCAGTTACTTAAAGTGTGCTAAATTCTCTTTGCTCTACACGACAAATTCCACATATCTGCCTAAAAACTGTATGGAACAGAATATAATATTTGCAAATATTATTTTACTCAGGACCGATCTACATTCGGTAAGTGCTGCTTAGTTTTCCTTTTCACACTTTCTCTAACGCCCCCAGATACCGTTACAACTCCAAACAGCAGTTATCAGTCTCATAGCAGCGACTATAATAACATTTAATCATCGAGAATGTTGTTGTTGGCTTTGAAATGAGAAGATTAGATGAGCTAGACTGCCCCCCATCTCCTCGTCTTCTTCTTCAAAACGTTACGCAGACTCTCAGGTCGCACAACACACACCCCGACACATCAAGTCGCTCTGTCTTACAGTAATGTTACAACATATAAATTAATACAAAAATAAAGGCAACTATTATCGGTGGTTGAATAGGTGAAGTCTGTCAGACTGGCGTGTCCCTTTCAGTGTTTAAATTAAACCCTGTTGCTGTGATTTTGTGTAAAAATAATAATAATTTCCAAAGTAAAATGTGATTTTCTTTCCTCGCAGTGATGATCAAACATTATAAACAAGGCTATTCAGGGGACAGTCCGTGGCTTGTGACAGGAACTTCTTCCTGGGAGAAGCTGAGTCCATATTGGGAACAGGGCTACTATCTTTTTCCTTTTCCGTCTTTTTCCTTTTCCCTCCTCTCACCCTCTCTCCTGTCAGTCTGTTGTATGTGTCCCGTCTCCATCAGTGGAGACCTGTGTTGTGTCATTCAGTCTCTGCACCTTTCCCCTCGCCTCACTTGCTGATGAGGAAACCTCCCATCCATCGTAACTTACAGGCGAACCAGCGCCGCAGAGGGCAGAAGTATTCAAAGTGGAACTGCTGGAATTCAGGTGTCTTGCGGATGTCTCTCAGGAAGGCAATGTCCAGGTCTGACTCTGTCAGCATGATGAGGAGCAGCAGCAGGGCGAACAGCAGTCCGATGGTAACGAGGAACAGACGCAACACGCTCAGGACGAACTTGTTCAGCTCCTCTACATCACTTGGTGGTGACGGCCTGCTCCTGACCATTCGCAGCGCTCTCCTGCCGGGCCTAAACTCTGCCGCCTGCCCCTCCTTCGACGTCCCCGCCTCTGACTCCTTGTCGTCATCGGCGCTGCAAGTAGAGCCATTGAGGTGGCGAGCCAAAGGCATCTCGTGGCCATGTTCTGCCACGGGTGTGGGCAGCACGCTGTCTGAAGGGCTGTAGGCCTCGTCTGAGATGACTGCTGATGTACTTGCCTCGCTGCCGTCCACCATCTGGCCCCGGGAAGGCATAAAGCAGTCGCCATGGGAGACCGAGCGCACAGGCGTGGAGTGGGCGCTGTCTCGAAGGGACTCCAGACCTGGAAACACATGGCGGAGGAAAACAGTTCATAAGGGAGATATAATATTCAGTTAATGGGAAGTGTTGTTGCAGGATACACAGAAATTAAAGAGATTATCTGACAGGACTCTCCTTTATCAAATTGAGAATAAATCAGTTCAAACATATGATCTCCTCCCTCACAGGTGGAAACCTTACCACACAATACTGTTTCTATGGACCTTTACTATGTTTATATTATCACAGTGTCAAACATATAAAGTAATATATTAGTCCATGAATATTTCTATGTAATATTTGATGGAGGCCTGAACACCTGCATGATGCATGTGTATGTCTTGCTATTAGGGCTGTGAAAATACATTATTCTGTGTAAGACTGTCAAATTTTATTATTGTATTTCATATTATTATTCTAAAGCACAGTCAAAACGGTACACTTTGAATCAATTTAAAAGAAAATCTCTTTTTCAAATGTTTTGCACTGATATCAATCATGTTAGAAGGAGACAGGGAATATATATAATCTGACAAATTTTTTGGTAAAATAGTGAAACATCATCTAATTTTTAAAATTTCAAGTCTCTATTATTGCTGGAACAAATTTACTACAGCGTTATTGTAATTAGAGTTTAGACTCTTCACTTCTTTCTGTGCGGATCAAATTTCCTCACAGTTCACAGCTAGTGTTTTCTGTTCTGTAAACTCATGAAAAATGAAGAAGTTATCCTTGTTTTCGAAGCCACTTGAAAAAGTTGCTCTGAGGAGAAATTGTCTTCATTTGCGTTTAATTAGAGATTCACTCAGCCTCTTTGATTCTGAGGCTGACTTGCTCGGCTGCCTGAATATTCAGGTACGCTGTGCTCTGTTGGACACTGTGCCTACAATATAATTCTGATATGCCAAGCTAGTCGTCACCTACGGTATGCTTAAGAAACTGACCCAGTTGTGTCATTGTGTAATCTTTGTATAATTGAAATCCTCAGAAGTGACAACACTAACCCCTGAGTAAACATGAAACGACCTCTAACAACTGTCACTCGGCCCTCACTTGATCGTCATGTGCTCCGGAAGCTTGATAATGACAATGTAAATCCTGATAACAATGGATTCAGCAACATCTTAATGTATAATTCCATAATTTGATGTGATACTCAGAAAATATCATAAAAACATACAGCATTCAAACACTTTTCTTTAACAGAAACTCGTCCAGCTTGACATTTTTCAGAATTGATCTATTCAAATCCAGGACCCAATCTAAAGGCTGTAAACGCTCAAGAACCACAAAAAGGGGAAACTCCATAACGCCGCATTTCAAAACCAGTCTTGGTTTTTACCTGCACGACCGTCTGTTGGGCTGCGGCCATGGAGTTGAGGTGGGACAGCTAGCCTGGAAGGGGTCCTGGAGCTCTGTCCCAACCCCAGACCAGAGCCCGAGGTGGAGGAACCCCCAGGGAGAGCGGGGAAGAGCGGTAGGACCCCCAGGGCCTTGCCCAAGAGCCTGGGTCCCAGAGACAGCACGCGCACTTTCACATCTCGATAACAGTGGTTGACCATGCGCAAGTGAATGTTCACCTTGGTCTTGATCTGGATCAGACACTTCACCATGGTTCAAGGGGAGTAAAGAACACCTGTCTAACCTCAGCTGCGCTCCAACACACTTTTGCTCCTCTCCTTTTTTTCTTTCAAATTTATCTCTGCCAATTCTTACAACTGTTTCTCCTCTGTTTCCTCCTGCTGTCTCTCTTTGTCTCTGACTGCGGCTGACTAGCGAAGCAGCACTCCCTCTTCCACAGCGAGCTCCCACATGCTGGCAGGCAAGCTGACAGCGATAGATAAATAGAAAGACAGACAGAGAGTGAAAGACAAGGCACGGGAATGTGGTCCACTTGTGGCTCAGTTCACCTCTCCCACCCCTGCTGTCGGCTGTGACACACACTGCATGGCCACTGACGGCGGGAGCTATTTACAGCCTGAGATATTATTACCAGTGGAAATACCAGCGCAGACAGAGCAACAGGACAAAACACAGGGGGTTTGTTACACTGTTGCAACAGTGGGGTGCAATGTCAGAGCCTGCTTTGTGTGCCAAATGACAAGAGGGAGGCTGGTGTGACAAAAGAGCTTTTTTTTTGTTGTTGTGGACAGACTGAAAGTTTATTTTTTATTTTATTCAGGCTGTTCTAACAGCAAACGTACTCACAATGGCAGTACTGGTAAAAGGTTAATAGCCTGTTGGAGGAAAGAGGGTACAGTAAGTGCCCTTTATAAACTGACAGGATGACTTTCTCATGTCAAAACAGTGCCTGAGGCCACTGGCTGATGGGTGCTACTTGAGTGTGTCTATGTGTGTGTGTGTGTGTGTGTGTGTGTGTGTGTGCTTCAGAAAGCACATATCCAAGACAAAAAGAGTGAGTTATCACACAAATAAGTTGGATGTTTATAAGGACAATGCGTGCGAGTGCATCGTGGGTGTGTGATCCATAGCAGATCAAGTCACATGGACTAGGAGAGTGATCCCTGAGCAGGGACACTTCTGCAGCTGTCAGGGGGTTAGGGTAGAGATTGTACAAACTACTATATTGATAAAAAATTTTTTAAAAAAACCAAACAAACAGCGTGCATATACATCAAAAGAGCGTATACGGGTGCTGGATCAAAAAATAAACTGAAGGCAAAAGTCAAACAGAGCTCTGCACTCTGCACTGATAGCTCCCAGCATTTTTTTTTTTTTAATGATGAAGAGCTCCGTTAGATCAAACTGTGTTCTGTTTAATTAAATTTCTTGTGAGCTTTCAGTACAGTTTGTCTGACTTATGTCATGGAAGAAAAGTCAGCCCACTTAGTCAGCTGTAACACTTAAACACTAGTGTCTGAAAACTATGATTGCTAAAGTATTGAATATACAATAATTATAGATAATAATTGATAAATTACTGAAATAATTAGCTGGATTTATTTCACTGTCACTAATGGTGCAAACGTGACCAAACCCAGTCATTCACAGCTCAACTGTATGAAAAAAATCAACTTCCTCTTCTTTTTTTAGTTAATAGTGGTATATATCATTCATTTAAAATAAATTCAAATGAACATGAATGTAGCGTTTGAAGAACAAGTACTGTAAGGGTCTGAAAAAAAAGGTCTGAACAACTGGAATAAGAGACATTTGCAGGCTTACTGCTGCATGTTGACAGAGGCAGCCTCTCTCTGCTCCCTCACCCCTTGACCTCCCATCAACACGCTGAGTGCTTACATTATTCAAAAAGTATTTCTCTACTCTACTCTGTGTGCGTGTGCCTGTTTTACCTTCCATGATAGAGATGTGCACAGCTCTTCGCCGGGTCCTGGGCACGCTGGTCAAACGAGGGCCGTGGGTGATGGATGGACAGCTCCTACTTGGCACCATGCCAGCCCTTCACAAACACACACGTATACATAAATGCAGACAGCCACACGTGCAAGTGGACCACCATATGCACACAAGTAAGTCTGAATGCACAAACACATACAATCTATAAATCATTCATTACGAATATGCAATTTAAGCAATAAATTGCACAATTTACCTTATATAAGAAATGTTACCTGTGGATCTCAGGGGGGTCTCTTTTAATTTTGGCACTTTGTTCCATGACTTCCTTTGCAACTTTTCCGCTGATAAAACATAGGAAAAGAAAATCGCTTAATCTGGGAAGGATATCTACAACATTTTTATCCGAGGTCCTGGAAAATCTGGAAAAGCTACACATGCTCTCTGTGCATTTTATACCTGTATCTAAAGCGACTACCCTTGAAGAAGAGATTACTACTGGACACAGTGCGGACTTGACTCGACTTCTCCAACCTGTGAGTCAATGGGGAGAAAAATCATAAATACAATCATAATCTTAGACAAAATGAAGTCCATCGTGAAGTGAATGTTTGCAGGTCGTGTGACTCACTTGTAGAAAGCCTGATTCTCCACTCCACACTTCCACAGATGTTTACAGGCCTCAGGTGTAGGTGCAAAGTAAGTCAGTATGATTTTCTTATCCTGTAACAAATCCAGCAGCACATCAGCTCATATGTATTTAACATGTTTATAACTATACAACATATTAAGAAGACTTTTCTGATGAGCGCTCAGATTTACTGAGCTCTTGGCTACAGGGCCGTATCACCCATCAACCAAAGCAAACCCTCAAGAAGCTGGACTTGTAGAACAAACAGTATGTTAACCAACTCTCACACAGTGGCTTTACTTTGCTCTTTTGTATGCTAAAACGCATGGCTAACACACACATTAAGGATAGATTACTTTGGCTCCCCAGTGACAGTGTCTCCATGCATAAAACAAGGCCACACTCATTTAACTTCCTGAGCTCCACAGACCAGAAAAGGCAGCGTTTCAATAATGCATACGCATACCTCCTTCTGATTTGCATATATATGGAATGTCTTTGCTTCAAACTTGAGTTTGGTCACCTCCTCCCTGAGATACAGAGACAGAGCAAAGGGCAGAGAGACAAGAGAGGAAAAGAAAGGCGAGAAAATGACAAGGTAAAATAAAAAGAGAGAAAGAACAACAGAAAGAGAATCAAAGAGAGAGGAGGGGGGAGAGCAGAAGAGAGAGAAAGAGAGAGGCCGGAAAAGAAGGGAGAGACAGAAATGGACAAAGGTGCTAAAATATTAATTGCGGCTGGAGGCAAATTAATAAGAAGCACAGTCTTTCATTTCTGTGTCGAAACGTCTAGACACATTGATTGTAGATTACAGTTACAAATTACAAGGGTAAAATGCAAGAGATTTTTAAAGAACAGATTTCTACAACAACACAACTCAGGGACTGAAAACGTCTGAGTTTTGCAGATAAATTAAATGCCGTTCCTGTTACATGTACAGTACATACCATGGATGTCTTAAACAGTGGTTGTGGTTGCATTATCGCATTTAAAACACAGCACTGTTCCTGCCAGATTGGTTTGAGCTCCATATTTTTGTTTGGACTTTTTGGCCCTTGAACATACAGCTCAGAATCAGTTACATTTATTATCTCAAGACAAATTCATTACACTGATATAGTTTCAACACAGTTTTCCCCTCCCTCATGTGTTTGTTCATCCCCAGTTCGTTTCTCTGTGTCTGTATTTGTGTGTGTGTGTGTGTGTGTCCGTTGGCCGTGGCTTCCTGGTTCCTGCTCCCTCCAGTCTCCATCCCCACCTGCTTCTCATCATGCAATCAACTCCACAACCTGCTGCAGTACAAAGGACCAGTTCAACTCAACATTCTTCGCCACGTTGTTCCAGTAACGTTGAGTTGTAGAAACGCTACAGCCAAACAGTGTTGCAAACTTGTTGCTCTGTGTCTGTTTTTTGGACTTTTTTGGTAATCCTGTTTGTTTCGCTGTGCTCCAGATCCTTAAATCTACAACCCTGCCGCCCGCCACGCTCGGCCCAGCCTAATCTCACCTGCTTGGATCCCTGTCTGTTTGCCTCACCTCCGCCATCATCTGCCACACTATCTACAGTCTCTCGCCGCCATCGCCATCACCAGCCCTATTCCCCACAATCAACATAATGTATAATAAAAGACTTGCTTTAACACCGGTCTGTGTTCTGCTCTGTGGGTTCAGCTCCATACTAAACCTTCACACATGGTCTGAAGCATGTGTATTATGATCTATTCTACATCACTTGCTGTGCATTATGTGGACACTGAAACTTGAAACTTTGAACTTGTAGCTTGTTGAGTTTGCTGCCCCTCTACTTTGTACAAGTTGGTAATTGCAGGAAGGACGTATGTTCATGTTTTGAACTGTGCATAGAAGGACAGTTCATATGCATGCTGTTTCATACGCATAAAGTCCACATACACACATGCTGTGACCTTTCATTTGAAAATGAGTATTATGTAGCTACTATCCACCATCCTTCTCCATACCTCGTCCAGTTTTAACTGTTCACCTGTACTCACCATTTGAGGAAATGGACCCTCCTGTTTCCTTGCAGCACAGTGAATCCAAAAGGAGTGAAAGCCAGAAAAGCTGGGTTGCCGGACACATCCTGACAGACGCACAAACATATGTGTTTCATAAATGTTCAACATTGATGAAGGACACTCAAGCGAGCAGCATAACAAATCAATTAAACTATTGTTCGTCTCACATTTACTCAAAAACATACAGAATTACTTACTGCATCAAACTGCACAACAAACATAAATTCATAAAAAGCACAAAAAGCACAAGCACATAATTGCAGAAGAACATTGTTTAGTAAAAACCACCTTGCATGGATGAGGGTCCACTCCATATGTCTCCAGCATCTGAGCTTTTTGGAGGAAATTGAGCTCTGACGTTTCAGGAGTCTGACCTCTGGGAGATAGAAAAAAACAAAAAAACAATAAGTCTGTGTACTGGCTTCTGTCACAAGCGTCTGTCAACACAGAGCACACCATTTGACTGAACGTTTGTGCTTATTTTTTCATAAATAAGCTGGAAATCTGAATTTCTGACTTTACCAGAAAATACAGTATATAAACGGTTTGGACCTGCAACGATGCCATCACAAGCTTGAAGCATATGACTTGATGATTAGAGTAAAATCATCTCGCCACAACTCATTTAAGGAAAATCTGTGATGCATTATTAGTAAAGCTAAAAACTTGCTCAGTTAGAATCGCTGTCTTCATCCAGTGCTCCGGCAGAGAGTGTTTTCCTCCCAGGAAGAAAGCTGAGCTGCTTATCTTCACCTGATAATCAAATATGGCCACTGTGTCAAAAGTGTGAAGCTAAAGCGGACTCATATTTCAGAGGTCTGTCCGATCCTATTTGTCCCATGTCAAAGACTAAAGCAGTAACTAATGTTCTTACAGCGGCTGTACTCAGAGGTTGGGTACTGACCAAGAGGAAAAAAAGGATTAAAAACAGTCTGCTCTCTTTTAAATCCTCACTGACACTGAGCTTTGTGAGTACAACTAGTCTTATTCAAACCGCCTGGCATTATAGTTTTGAATTCTGGCAGCATTGTGATCATTTTTTTCACTGAAATGGTTTCAGGTACAACTTTTTCCTGTGCTGACACACAACTACAGAGAGAAACACTTGATTGTTCAAATGAGCAATAGAGGGCAGTGCAGGATCAAATCTATAACCAGGTCCAGTGCGTGTGTGTGTGTGTGTGTGTCTGTGTGTGTGTGTGCATGTCTGTGTCTGTGTGTGTGTGTATGAGACACAGATAAAGAGAAAGACAATGGAAAAAAGGGGTTGGAGTTAATGAATTAAAGATTGGGCATTATATATTTTAACCTTTAGATCTGTGGGTACAGATGAAGCATGACAAGGTTAGAGGTTTCTATCTGTGCTCATGGTGCTCGAGTTACAGTGTGTAACCTTTATTCTACTTCACACTAGCTTTGTCTTTGATAGGGCTCTGCAGGCTAAAGAGGCAAAACCAGATGCTTACAATACCTGCTGTGGCAGCAGTCGGACACAAGCCTGTGAGCTTGGCCCACACTGTCTGCCACTCTTCCACTTAAAACAACATTAACTGAGCCTGACTGAGCGCCACAAATTCATATCAGTCCCCAGGCATAATTCAAACACTGTGCCAAGAGGAGCCTAAAATCACTTGAATCCAGGAGACAAATAATCCAAAGTTGGCCAGCATTCCACCGATCTTATGAACTAGCAACCAGACAGCGCTGCTTTTGCAGGTCATACAGCACCACTCACACACTATGACCTCTCTCTCTTTGAAAGTGCAAAAACATGTACCGGTGGGAGGGGCAAAGTGTCTCGCATGATGGCCCTACTCATGTAGAAGAATGAGTGGGGACTGTGACAACCTGCACATCTCCACCTCAGATCTGTCCCGCACCATGGTCATCACTAGCTGTGTGTGGGAGCGAGAATCCAACACCGCCTCCATCACTCCTGACCCTTTACTGCAGACTGGGGGAACACGCAGCATCCCAAGAGCACAAGTTCTCCCAAAGATCCAAAGTGCTCTAAGACAGCACAAACCTGTGAAAGGATTCAGAAACAACCCGCAAGAAAAAGTGTAAAAAAAAAAAACAAACAGAAGGATTTGGTCCTCACTGCTTCTGGAACCTGATTCTTGCTAGCTGAGACGGCTCACTTAGCTCACACCCTTTGAACACATTCACCAGACTATTAGTGGGTGCCAGTGACACTGCCTCAGCCAATAAGGCCCCCAAAAACTAAGGGCAAACTATGGCAATCTTTAATGAGATCTGTAGTCTAAAAGGTCTTGCCACTGTTGCCACTGGTATCTGGTATCTGGTCAGCTAAACACTGTGGAGGACGCTGCACACTGAGGCATCCAGTTCCAGCCATGTGTAGCAGTGGGCGTCAGTCCTAAACCTGTACATTAAAATGTCAGTATGTTGCTCTGCAGAGGTGCAGAACGAAGCTTATAGAGCACTTAAGTACCTGTTGTATGACATTAGAAACCTATGGCTCTCCATATTATTAATATTTACTTTCATTCTGAATATGAGATGTCATTCTTGGGTCGCCCCAAGTCAAAAAAGTGAAGTTTATTTCCTGAATGTTAGGGATTATATATAATCAGTTATTTAAATGGAGACTGTGGAGACTAATCCATATCAGTATATTACTGAAAAGGGTAAAAAAAAACCCATGTAGTGCTTCTTTTTGTCACCACTTGTGATTCAGGACGTTCCATCCCACAATCATGTAGGAATGTAGGAGCAGGTTTAACCAACTGCATCAGTGTTGCAGCCATAATAAGTATTAATGTGTCCTGTAGAGACCTAAAACCATCAGAGCAGTTGATCACTTTTGTTTCCAAAGAGTGATCTGTGAATTCAAAGGGCTCTATAGGAGCACATAGTGGCGGAGCTACAAGTTCGGTCTGCTCCTGTAAAGCCTGCGCTGTGTCTGCTATGACAGTGAAGGAGTACACAGGGACATGGTCAGGTTTCACCTTACATCAGCTCAGTCTTGTGGATCTCAGCAATCCGCCGCTCCAGCTTCTCTGAGTGTTTGGGGAAGAACTGGAACTTGGAGCTGTAGCCCTCTGGGTGTTTCCCGGGGTCGTAGTCACCGATTTCAGCTGGGAAATGGGAAAAGAAGAGAAACAACACAAGCAGGTTGAGAATGACATTTCGTTTGACCCTATAACCCACTTATTTCCAAATGAAGTAAATACTTAAAGGCATTAATCAGGACTGAGGAAGAAATGACCACTCTTAACCTAAACTAAGTAAGTTGTTTGCATATCCACTAATTCATTACTGAAATCGTTGACATTTACTGAAGACACAAACTGTTTTCTTACTTTGTTCAAAGCACTGATTAGCTACATCAGCTTGGTTTAATTTTTCAGGGATTTTGTAAGGCCATGGCATTGCTGCTGGTTATGGGTGCATGGGTTGGTGATATTTTGGATATGGACATGGAGAGAGGCACAGATTATGTATTGTCTGCTGAAGGGGAGCAATAGAAGGAAACAAAGCAGTAAAACTGCATCATTCCATGAACATTTAAATAACATGATGTATAAACACAAGTGGTTATGAAATATTCTTTCCTGCTGCGAGCAAATGGTGATGGAGGGCAGATGGTTCGCTGACTGAGTAAAACGTAGTTGGAATTCTGACAGTCAAATTTGGATATCAAACTTTTTTTGATACAAAGAATTTCTGCATTTAAAATGATCAAATTTTATCTTAATTAATAATTAATTAATCTACCAAGGGCATGTTTCGCTTTCATCTTCATCGTGGTCATTCATCAAAACAGAGTTAATACCGTGGTGCATAGTGATCAATGATCATGCCTCAGCAAAACGAACTGAAAAAGAGAAAAGCCCACAGTGCACATTTGCAGAAGATGGAGAAATCAAGGTTTTGAATGCACCTTTGTGAAATAAAGGCACACACAAAAACCATCAGTGTGCATATTGAATAGGCCAAGGACTCGAAGGAGCTTCGAGCCTCAGATCTCTAACTGACAAAGATCAACATAGCTTAAGTCACCACATAATGGTGATTTATTGGAGTGTTGGAACTTTTAATATTTTATATTTGCTGTTTAAAGGCTTAATCTTGTAAGAACATGCATGAATACACCAAACATGTGTGTGGAACAAACACTTCTCTTGAATCGCCATGCATAAGTTATTAAGTTGGCGTGTCTATGCCATCAAACATACCTGCTAATGTTCTCTGCATCGCTGTAGCCAGATGTAGCAGCCTAGCTCACTAACCACTGGCATCAGATTACAGATGGTGGAGGAAAGACAGGGAGAGTTTGGCTACTTGTCTGCTCTCTGGGGAGTATACTGTACTGTGCTGCTCAGGCAGCCGTCACTGTTGAAAACTTTGTAGAGCATTTTGTAGAGCCAAAACCCTCCCAGTTTATATGCACAGTAGACATTATGGATTCACGTTTCTGATATGTTGACAGCGTCTAACAGTGAAACACCTGGTGAAGAAAAGCCTCACAGACAGCCACTGATTTGGCAAGACAGAAAGTTTATTCCCCTTTCTTTCTTTCTATGGTTATTACCAAATCATTTAACTAAATTGCTATTGTCTCTCCTCCGACATCACTCTCTATAATACTGCACGATCTGTTAAAATATACCCCTACAGTTAGCTAGTGCTGAGGTTTTTACCAAATTATCTAATGGTGTAACACATGAATAGATGCTATGGATATGCATAGATAGGCAAAACAAGCAAGTATCTTACACTGTATTGATGCTCTGTCTTGTGGGTAGGGCCACTGGCTGAGAGACAAAAGGCTGGCAGGATAGCTGGTTGGCAAGTTGTGTGACAGCTGATCTGCTCCTTAATGGATCTCACCTCTCAGCATGTTGATGATGTAGCCAAAATGACCAGAGGAGCCAAAAGGGTCAGCTTTTGTGCAAAATTGTCAGATTTTCTCAAAGGGAACTATGCTAATGAGTTTTTTTCATCGAATGCCATGAATTTTTTTCAATAAGAACTGTATCTAAATTTATGCTGCTTAGGGTTTTAAAATTAATATTTTCAATTTAAGATAAAAACAACAAATACAACAAATCCAAATTCTCAAGGTCCCCAATTAAACAACAGCGGTGTACCAGCCTTCATACATCTCTGAAAACATGCTCCGTTTGCACATTTGCACACACCCACACAATAAAACTACACACAAGCACGCACACACTTTCATTGCTGGCAAGTGTTTATTAACAAGCCAGGGTCATATGGAAATCACAGAGTCTATGGAAGGTCACAAACATTATGAAATATGGTAATTATAGTTACAGTCTTAGTTTGGGGTGATGATTCCCAAATGGGAGCACAAATATAGAGGATGAAAGCAGTCAACACTGAAATGAAATCAGCCAATTTACCATCAAAACAATTAGAAAAAAATAAGAGAGATAATATGGAAATGGTTGAAATGCACCAATGAGAGATAAATGTTCCACTGCTTGTGTTTCTGGTCAGCGTAGCAATGTACGTTTGTGCTTTTTTGATTTAAGTCTTTGTAGCATTTTGTATTCTTAAATGACCACACTGTCATACCTTGTAATATGTAGGCAGCCAACAGAGCAGCATCTGATGTCTTGCACAGGAGGCGACCATGGTAGAGATCCCTCTTAACCTGCAGGAAGACGAGATATCTGTGGAGTGGAACACAAAGAAACTAATTTGGGTCATTATTTAGATAGGATCAATATATTGATAGTTTTCTCCTTGGTAACACATGCTGGATGGTAACAACTTAATGTGGCTAAGAGATTGCTGGGGGAGGAAATCCCCTTACTTAGTAAGTTAGGACCTGAATGATGAATTTAAAACGAGACAAGGACACACACAGCTCTTAGCTGTGTCCCAATTCAGGGCCCGCATCCTTGGGAGGCTGCATTTGAAGACTGATTGCGTCACAGCAGCGCAACTAGACTGTCCCATTTGGAAGTCTCCTTCAAATGCAGCCAATAAATGCAGCTTTCTTTTCCTGGGCAACGAAGGATCCAGCGGGTGGATCCTTTGACACCCAAAGGATCCAATGGGTGGATCCTTCATGGCACAGCCTTTCCCAAGATTCATTGCATGCCGGTAATGAAAACTGATCTACAACCATGTTAGCACTTCTGTAAGGCAGTGCCTTGGGCTGAATTGCTAATGTTAGCATACTCACAATGACAATGCTAACATAATGGGTTTTACCATGTTGGCTATGCTAGTTTAGCAAGTTAGCATGCTAAAATTAGTTAATTAGCACTGGTGGGAATGTCATCAGTTTTGCAGGTATTAAGTCATAAACCAAAGTTGTGGACAAATTAAAAATTTGAAAAAACAAAATCATAGCATATAAGTAAAGGACTCAGTGTCCTTAAAAACAAGAAAAATCACGATTGCGTATGACGCAGGTGGCTTTGTGTTTACCAGCCCACTTTAGATGCTATATCTGTGGCTATTTCAGACAAGCTTCGGTTCCTCAAAGCTCTACACAGCAAAATGACTGGCAACAGCTCCATTAGTCTAGGGCCCTTTCACAACCCATCTGTAATTAATTTATAATTTGAATTTTGAAAAATTAAATGAATGTGTGATTGGCAATCCAAAGTTATCTTTTGGAACATTAGGCACAGGACATGCCGGCTGCCTCGAGGCACAACTCCACCTAAAGCATAATCATTCTGAGAGCGGACAGTGATTTAAAATATGATTGCTGGTTCGCACTGAAGTCCTTCGGGAGCAACTCAATCTTCTGGTCTCGTCCACAACATCCAGAGATTACTCATATGTCAATTTTCCCGCCCAGCATTCATTTCATACGACTGTGATTCTGCTTGTCTCCGAGCAGCAAAGCAATAAATAGTATAGCAGCACTAAGCATTGCTATGAAAACTGCCAAAGTAGAGTTAGTGTGTATATCGAACATTTTTACATTATTGAATGCGCAAGTTATCACCTGATGATATACCTGATGTCTGTAGTCTAAGTTATATGTCAATTACATTATGCTAATGGCCTTAATTTATAATAAGAGTGCTCGAGTAGGGGATCCTCATTCAAATACGGTTAATTAGTCAAATGTGTCTAGTCATCAGTCTTGCCACCTCATGGGATGTGTGTGTAAACTGCATGGTTCCTATGTCAAATTTCCTCTAAGCACAAAAAACAGAACTCTTGTGAAATAATAATTAAAACCTAAAAGGCACCATAAAAATCCATGTGAAATGTTGTTACCTTTCATCTTTTCGCTTATCTAATACGCATTTGTGTGTCTGTGAAATCCTCCAGTCAGAACAGATGGTGGAGGATGGAGGAGCTCTCCCTTGCCGGAGCTCTGCTCTACCAAGAAGAGCTGGATTGTGAATAAAAAGATTTGATTGCATGGCAACCAGTCGAGGGATGCGATTTAGAGGGATCTGTGCGCTCAGTAGCTCTCTGGCTCACTCCTCACAGCAGTTTGTTCAGCTGTCAAGGATGCCACACACAATATAGTGTTGGTGAGGAGCATCATGACACTGTAACTCATGAGAAAATGAGAGACTTACACCCCCCCTGCACACAGGCTCACTGTATGGACCTTGATACTGTCATGAAATGAATGTTGTGGTCTTTTGTATCTGCATCACTGTGTGCCTTTTCAACAGTTAGGATAGTTTTATATTTAAAATACTGTACTTAACATTACTTTAAAAGATGGCTACTTTCACTCAGTAATAAAAACAGCACTTTTAACTTTTCCATGAAAATATGTCATAAAACTGTTTCGCTTTTCAGTTTTTACTCAAAAGAACCAAGCAATTAAGGGATATAGGAAGACGAAGGCTTTTAATAAGTATGGACTGAAAAGATTCTCAGTTCATACAAAAAAAACATTCTTCTTTAAAATCGCCATTAAACTGCAGAGCTGTTATTCATTTTTCAATAATCTAAACGCTTGCTGCAGAGGCATAAAAGAATGATAGTAAAATTTAAAAATACTTTTGATCTGATTTAATGAGACAAGAAAGTTAATAGACAGGCAGAAGATAGAGACATCCCCAGTGGTTCAATAAAATCAGTCTCTCACTGCGGGGACTGATTTGATTTTATATCTCCCAACTAGCGTTGCTCTACGTCAGCACTTTGAGACTGTGGTAACAACTCCCACAAAAAGAATGATATATGATGTGATCGTTCCTAGTTGGGTAGAAGACATTAATCTCCACTGTTCAACAGCAGTCAGTAGCTTTAAAAAAAAATGAGGAGTGTCCACGAAAACCCAGATTGATAAAAGTGAACACAAATGTGCCCTTTTCGGTTTGTGTCATCTATTTTTTGTTGCACCCGGTTCCGGATGAAAATGCTAAAAGACAAGGCAATTTTCTTTCCACATTGCCTGGTTGTGATTTATTTTTTTCTTGTTTCCAGTCTGTCCTTCCAGTTTGGTAATTCCTACTCCCATCTCAATATAATCACACACATCACGACCTCTCGCTGAAATGGCTCGGGCGCCTCAAATGGCCGTCAAGTGATTGCTCCTGACTGCCTTCTACTGCAGGGCTTGATTTTTCTTGTCCTGTACCACTCCCAATTACACAAGGTAAGAGACATCGCTTCTTCACATGATGTTTGATACCAGCAGTGAGTTCACAAACAAACCAACAGGTAGCTGCTACGAATAAATAGAACTGTGCTACCACAGGAAAAAAAACAATATCACAGGGATTTCTAAGGATGTTCTGGTTGTCTGCGGAAAGGTTGGTAAAAAAATATTCTGTTAGTATTATACGTTTGGAAAACTGTTTCAGAAAACTGTGAGCTCAGCCTTTCTGAAAATACAGGTGCCAGTTTCACCAAATCTGCATCACATATGGTTCAACAACAACAACAACAACATGTTGCAACATGAGTTATTTCAAGTCTCCCTGGCCCATGCATCAGTATATGGGAGCCCTTTCAGACTTGCAAGTCTGTGTGTGCACTTGACTGTGCAACCTTTTTTTCCACAACTTTACCGATGTTTTCTATATTTTATTTGTGTAAATACATGACGGCAGATGCCTCTGTGCACACTCACATCATGTTCATACCCTCTTTAGTCCTTTAGCCCAATTAAATGGCTGCGGTCATGATGGCATATTTCACACTGACAAACTGGTGACACACATGGCTAATTACGCCTTCATTAAACTCTACTGCCTTTGGTGCTACTTGCTTGTAGCATACAGTATGATTGGTTTAACTCAGCTGGATGAAAAACAAACCTCTGAAGAGGTATAAACATGTCACTGCCCTCAGTTTCAGTAGGAGAAATGCAAAGTTTGACTCACGTTTAACTTCTATTTCTGAACTCCACCCTCCCCACCTGCTGCCCACTGAGCTATCTTAAAATCTTACCTGGTGATTTCCTCTTTCAGAGCAGCAGGGTCAGGTGGGTAAAACTTGACACGTAAACACATAGTGAATGGAGGTTGGGCTGTGGAGGAAAGACAAATGTTTTATATTTTGCATATGTTTTGTAATAATTCTACTGTTGCTGATCTGATATTTGTGATGTGTTTTTCTTTTACTTTGTCAATTTCGCATTATATGTTTTGCCACTTTTATTCTGGTCAAATATTATATTTTAGAAGTGGATTCAACCAAAGGAAATGTCACACACTAATCAGGTATGTTAAATAAAATACTTACATTTCATTTGTTTGGCAATTGACTTTGAAAACTCCAACCAGTGCTGAAAGGGAGAGAAAGAGATGTGAAGAATCTATAGCTGATAAACTGTCAGTCTGGAGTCTGATTGCTCAGCAGCTGAGCATGATGACTTGAAATCTATAGCCGGGAGGCGCAGTGGAATTACTCCCATCTCCTTGCCTTCTGTTTATTTAAACTCCCTCCAACGCCACGCAGAGAGTAGATGAAAGAAAGCTGTTTGGAAGATAATCAGGGGAGCACTGTTTTCTGTCAGAGTGCTAAACATCATGAGTCCAAACTGGCTCTAATCAGTGAGATGATGACACACTGACAATAATGGGCGACTGCTCCATACAATGATGCTACACCACCTTTGTTATCGTTTTTTTTTTTTTTTTTTCACCTGCATTGACGTCTCTCAGCTGGCCGATGTCTTCACTGCTAAAATGCAGCGAGAATCTGCAGAGCGTAGAACATTTTCAAGCCCTGCAAAGCATTTGTAATCCTATTCACAGCTGAAAAGTGCACGATAAACAAATACTCAGTTCAAGCTCTGCAGATTCACCAAGGACTGTATGTGTTCATTTCTGTGATTGATACTCATTAAATGGGCAGGCCTCTCAAAGGCTTGCATAGTTGACCTGCAGAACTACAGTATCTGCCTGTGCTGAATATTTATGAAGTAGAAAAAAAGACTCATTAGACCAGTTAGACTTGGCATTTTTACCTAACATCCTTCAATAAAGTATCTGTCACTGATTTAATTGATAATGTACCTGGTGATCTGCAGACTCTAAAAGAAAATGTAGAGATGGTAATGACTGACTGGAACAGCCACAGAGCTTCCTTTTTATATCCTTGTATTACTTTTTGGCCTTTTACATTTGAACAGTGTTGTTATCCATCAAAATCAACTGTAGCTTATTTAAAGGAGCAAATCATATAGTTTACACAAGGTAATCTTTAATTGAATGGGTCAAATGACTAATTTGTACTCACAAAGGTAAACTGAAGCTCCCACAAGTGGAAAAGCTTAAGAAGCGGATGTCACATTATGTAACTCACTGAAATTTAGTTGGCTTTATTATATATATAAAAACTTACCCTTTGCTTGTCTGGGTCAACATATCTGATGCCAAAGTAGTCTTTCTCCAGCAGGTTGAGATGATGGCAAATGAGGTCAAACAGGTACTGTCCCTTGGCATCCCGCTGAAAGAGAAATGATATGAGAAAATTCATAAAATGCACTTCCTATTGAGGGACAGTGGAGGGAAGGAAATAGAAAAAAAAAAATGGAAGACTCCACAGCTCTCATCGTTTCCACCCTAATATCTCCATATTCACAGACACAGTTAATGAACCCCCAGCAGATCAATGGTGCATATGTGTGAACACGCAGCTCCAAAGTCTACACTCTGCCCAGGAAGAGCAGCAAACAACATCACACATCATAAAATATCAAAGACATTTCACAAACATGTTGATATTGTCACATCAAACATGATTTTCTTCCCCTGTCATCAAGAAGTCCATTTTTTTGAATCGTCTGAGAAGTCAAAACGGCCAGCAGAAAATGTTTTAATATTTCACTACCCTCAAGGGAGATATATGAGGGCTATCAAATATTCATATCCAGGCAGCAGCCATCTGTGAAAGCTTTGAGAGATTTTCTGCTGCAGAAAAAGACCTGAAAAAGCAGTGAGACAAGGTGTAGGGAAAGAAAAAGGGAGGCTGATAAAGGAGAGGAAGCCTTTGACATGCAATGCAGTACAAACATTTGACCCTTACAAATGTATGAATACTGTTTATATATTTTCTTGTCATCATTAAAGCACCAGGAAATACTAGGTTTACCTGTTGTTAACTGAGAAAACCTCTGAATTAGTTAAAGTGCGGAGAAACCAAATCAAAATATACAGTGTTCTAGATCAGGTGTGACAGAGGAGAGGAAGCAGGCCTGCCGTCCTGGCACTGGCAGCTTAACGCAAAGTGAGCAGGGCCTTAAATAAAGCTGCATCCTCCCCAAAACACTCATTAAAACCTATTTTTAATGGAGTATTTATTTACATTTAACTGCAACAAACGGCCATTTATTAAAATATCTGTAGCCCCCCTCAGGCTTTTCGTATAAACCGCAGGTGAGGAGGCGCACACCCATGGCTGCAGACTGCAGCTCAGAGTCCTAACATGAATCTGTACTGAGCAGGTTCAAAAGCATCCTGTTCACATTCATCTGCTGAGAGAGGAAAGCTTCTCTGTGCTCAGCCTGAGACGTGTACGAGCAGGATTTTGTGACATTACCAGCAGCTTGGAAGCCAGCTGTGGTCCAGTATGAAAGTTAGAAAAGTGTGACGTGAAAACCTCCACTGCACATGCACCGAGAATGAACGTTTCAGTGAATTTTTGAAATGCGCAGTGGTCTCACAGGGAGAGGGAACAGATGTCATTTTAAGAAATTTAAATTTCACTTTTTTTTTGGAAAAACCATATCAGACATGTTATTATTCCAAGCACAGTAAACTTTATGTCCTAAAACATGTCTGTATACCTGCATAGTGAGTGTGTGCACATCCACTGGATATGTTATATACCATGTGCACTAGGCATATGGGATACAGTGTTTCCTTCTTCAGGGGTAAGGGACACTATAAAATATCCTACTCTGCCCTTTAGAAGAGACACTGTGTTCACATAAGTGACACAAAACTGCACAGTCAGAGAAAGTCAAACGCAGATATATGAGAGCGGAGGGAGGAAAAGAGAAGAGAAAGACAAAACCAAACAGAAAGAGTGAGAGACCAAGTAAAGAGAGGGAAAGAAAACAGAGAAAGGAGAGAGAGAAGACTAAGCAAGGCAACTGATTGGTCCCTCTACAGCATACCACAGCACAGTAGCCAAAGAGAGAGAGAACAGGGGCCCATGTATGAACCATTTTCAGATACGATCCCTGTTGAGACACATTAGACAACGTGAGAATCTCTATGATGAGGCCTGTTCACACCTCGGTTTCACTCAATATCAGATCAAATGACAGAACAAACAGCCCCCAGGTGACATGTGCTATAACACTGTCAGGGTGCCCTAAGATTAAAGTTATTGTCTCTCTTTGAATTGGGTTAAACCAAAGTTAATCTGCAGTTTCATGACCAAAGAGAGCCTGTTGTAAAGGGCTGCTTATTTCAAAATTAAAAAAAAAAAGTTAAATTTTTTCCTTTAATTTTGATTCTTGTCCTGTTTGTGTTCAGCTCAGAATTTACCGGTTCTTTCTATTACTTCCCTCCGGTCTCGAATTTCCTCTCGTCTCTGTAGGTTTATGAATCAGATTCAGGAATCCCCAGGATTTTTCACTCAAGTTCAAGCTGACAAGTTAAAACCTTTTCAAGTAGAGCATACATGTCTTCATGTAAAACTCATCTCCCTCTGGCAAATTTGCACCTAATCCTGTCTTTCAACGGACTTTGGGAGCAATTGTGCCGCCTCTAAAAAAAAGCTTCTGTCTGTTATGATGGACCTGCCAAAGGATCTGAAGAGTAAATATAAAGATTAGGCTATATCACATTAAAGTACACCAGCATCAAGGAGATATATGCATGAATTAAGTCCAGGGATGTGATTCATTAAAGATAAATGTAAGTTTCCAGTGTTTTTAATGAAATCTTTGAGCCAGAAGAACTCAACCAAAGCACAACCCAACATCAACCTATCAGGTTCAGTTGTGTCAAGCAGTGCACTGGCCAGACCTTTCCCAGGATGCACCGGGCTGACCCTCCATCTCTGTCAGTGTGTCTGTATGTCACTGTCACGACATACACCCTGACACACCAGGACAGGCCTGCTGAGTAGCCCAGCAGCAAAAATAGAACTGCAAGCATCCGTGTGCAGTCTAACACACACACACACACACACACACACACACACACACACACACACAGAGCATCAATCCTTCTTGCTCTGTTATAAGTGTCTGTGGTACACCTGTGAAACCTCAAGATCCACAACATTTTCAGAGCCTGTACCTCCCACTCACTCCATCTGCTGTGCACTGTAGTGTAAACTACAGCGATGCCCAAAAAAGCCTTCGCAATTAATCATGTTGTCTTTGTGTTTCCTCCTATGTGTGCACCAATGTGTTTGTATATGAAATGCCCAAGTGTGTGTGTGTGTGTTTGTGAAAGAGAGAGATTAGTTACTGATGATCCAAATCCAAAGTTAGTGGTTATGAAACAACAACAGAGAGGCAGGGTGATTTATCTCAGTCCAACACTTAAGCAAATAAATGAAAAGGGATGAAACGCATTAATAGAAACCATTCATGAACGAAGCCTGAGAAAAAAAAAATCTCACTCAGAAGCTGCAGTGCTTTTTATAGCAGCAGCGAAACTTGAACATACACAGTTTCTACAATGGATTTATCAGCTGTTTCAACAGATTTTAAATGGTACGACTTAATAAAGAGCTTCTGATCTTGAGTTTCTATTGTGCATTACAATGAGTGCAGGTAATCCTATTGTTGCTTGTAATTTACCTGACTCTGCACTCTGATGCAGTTTGTAACGACGCGATGGAAGCACACTCTAACTTTGTTCATGTGCTCATTGTGAGGCTCAACTAAACGGTGATGGAATAGAGCAGAAGAGTCTCTCTCGTGCGGAGGCAGCTGGCCAAACACTTGTAATGTATATGTGGTGTTGTTTTGCATAATGATGCGACACACTGGATTTCAGTGCGCTGACCAGGGCTCCACTGGGACACAAAGGGAGGCTCTGAGGCAGAAACATTATCGATCTAAAGTTAAGTGTTCTTCAACATCCTTATGAGATTCAAACCCTGAGCATAGCTGCAATACACCAGTGGCTGCAGAGAGGAAATATTATACGTTGCCAGTTAAAGCTGTGTTTTATTGTTTTTGAGTAGATAAACTGCAGATCTATTATGTGGTTTGTGATCATGTGATTCCAGTGTGGGAATTGCTTCTCTCACTGTTTTCTCTCCCTTAGGTTTTATTGCTGTGGTGGAAATAATTAGATCCATGCTATCTTTGGATTAAAAGCCTCTTACTGCCAAAACATCAAGAAATAAAATAACCTGCTATTGAGATAAATGGGCCTACAGTTTAGAACATACACAATAGGCTTTGCAGTGGGATTGATTTTTGTTTTATTCTGCAACATAAGGGTTTTAGTCTGACTGCAGAGTGTATTGTGAAGAAATCCTTAATGATGCATTCCATCATATAAAACTGAAGGTGTCACTTGACTCATTCTGCAGGTATGCAGCATCCAGATCTGCCGCTACAACACTAATTATTGTTATTATTATTATTCATTGCGACTATTGCTATGATTACATTATCATTATTATTGATAACGCCATTACCTATGGGTATTACTATTACTATCTTAACTGTATCAACATATCAACTGCATATACAGCCGTTCCTGGTCTCTCTCTCTCTCCTGAGTTCTGATGGAGGCCTCTTCCTTTTAAAAGGGAGTTTTTCCTCCCCACTGTCGCCAAGTGCCGCTCATTGTGGGAGCTGTTGGGTTTTCCTCCATAATAAATTAAGGTCTTGACCATACCTTGTTAAGTGCCTGCAGATAATGTTTGTTATGATTTGGCACTGTAGAAATAAAATTGATTTGAACTGAACTTGCATTAACCTTGATATTTAAGGTTAATGTATGTTGTTTATGTATGTATGTATTTAATGTTATGTTTTTCTGTTACTTTTAAAAGAGGAAGAAAAATCTAAAAAAAAGAGACAGCGGAGCACTGTAATCAGTCTGCGGCAATTGGGCTTTAAAAAGAGATTTATTGACTTGGTTTTTTAATCAGTAAAGCTACATCATATTTCAGACTAAACAAAGTGTGGATTAAACACAAGCCCAGTGTCATCTTATCACATTGCGTTGCAGAGAACTGGAACTATTAATGAGCTCAATGTTTGCCTGTTTTCTATGGGTTCATTTGGAATCAGACTGAACTGACAAAGTCGCTAACAGACTTCATTAAAAAAAAAAAGCAGCTGAATAGACATGAATCTCTGTTTATTCCATGCAAGCATTGTGCCAGCTTTCATGCTTCCATACAAGTCATGGCTCTTTACATGTAGATCCCTTTTAATCTGCTGGAGTCACTAAATAACTGTAGAGTTTTTTGACACCCTTATTCAACCACAAGTCTGGTATATAATAAAGGCCAGCTGGCTG